AGCCCAACTCTGTTCTTTCAGTTGCAGCCATGTGGTGGCCTAACCTCATATGCCAAGAACTGGCTGCACACCAGCTCAGCCCCATATGCTTGGATCCAGTGGCAGAATGATCCCACTCACCAGTGCTATTTAGTACACAGAACCATGTCATGTAGCCCTTGGGGATCCCTACAGGAATAATAATTTGGTAAGCGGTAATTAATACTGCCACTGCTTCCCTGCCATCAACTTTCTAGACCCAGGGGAAGATACATTGGCAGGATGACACATCTCTGGAGGCTGATCACCCCCACTTAAAAAGAATTAAAGCACCATAAGCTTTGTTATGGTCAAGAAAAAGCTAATGTGAATGGAAATTGAGGAGTCTTCATAAATATATCTTCATGTTAACCTTGGTGTTCTGGCAGGTTACTGTTACAAAGAGGAATAAAGTTACAGGAGAGATCCCATGACCCAAGGTATCAACACCATCAGAATTAAGAGACGTTGAACTCAGTGAGAACATGCCTGTTTATTTTAGTGGCTTTGGGGAAGGCTTTCTTTTGTAAGAGACTTCTCTGTATTATTTGTCCTGTATTAATGTCATAGAGGCCCAGCCATGGACCAAAACGGAACTGTGTTAAGACTGACCAAGCATAGAACAAAAAGACAGTTGCTTCCCCAAAGAGTATATAATATGTTTATAAGGCAGTGTTTCTCAACCACGTTTCACAGCACCCTAGGGTGCCTTGAAATCTTTTTAAGGGTGCCTCAGGGTGCTAGTGCCATGCAGTGTTAGCACTGTTAGGTGTGCAGACATAATGCACAAGATAAACCCAGAGATTTCTAACGGAAATCCACGGTATTAAAACTATTCTGTCTTGTTGTAGGCATCCTGAGTTCTTTGCAACAGAAGACTTGCTCTATTATTTTTCTGTAATCAAAGAAACAAGTCAAAATGAAGAGTTAGCATTTTCTGGGGGGTGCCTTGAGTCTAAAAAGGTTAAGAACCAGTGGTAAAATGGAAGAGGAAATGAGTGGATACAGATGGGGAAGTGCAAGCAAACAGTTTGAATGGTTATAAGCTGGGTACATCTTCATTTTTATGGCTGAAGAAAAAGATAGTGCAGTGATTGATGCACAAGATGGTGGAAGCCTAGACAAGAGTTTTAGCTAGGTGGGTGGATGGGGAAAGTCATATTTTTAGGTCAGTGTGACTGACCCGCAGCACATGTGCTGCATGTGGCACGGGCAGCCTGTGTGTAGATTTGAGGAGGGGATAGGCCATACAGTGGGAGACACAGCAGAAAACAGAGTATTAGATCAGCAGGGATCCTGGTTTTTCCTGATATAAAAAAATTGCAAATTCTCTGATAAAACCCCCCAAATCCACAATTTAAAATGAAAAGCCCCTCACTCCCTCCCACAGCCCTGCCGGGGGTGGCTCCCAGATGCCACAGCTATAGGGCTAAGGACACAGGTCTGCTGCCCCCGGCAGGAGGCAGCAGCAGCTGCAGCAGAGTGCATGCACTGCCGGGGGGGCAGGGGAGACATGCCCCCCAGATCTATGCGTGGGGTGGGTGTGGGCTGCCTGCTGCGGGCTTAGCCTCCTGCCCTCCCCCAGGGCTTCTGCAGCCTAGTGAGTGCAACCTGGTGCTGTGGGGCAGAGTGGGGCCACACAGGGCTCTCCTTGCCGCTGCAAGCTCCATGCTTCCTTGGCGATGCGTCCACTTGGCACAACCCCACGCTGCCGCCCCCACTGCAGCTGTGTGGACAGGAGATGTATTGAGTGTGGAGCTCACAGTGGCAACGAGTTGCCCTGTATCACCCTGCTTTGCCGTTCATCCCTGGGTTGTACCCACCAGGGTGCAGAGGCTTCAGGAGAGGGCAGCAGGGTGGGAGTCCAAGCCTGCAGTGGGCAGCCTGTGCCTGCCCCCGCTCACAGATCTGATGGGCATGGGTCCCCTCTGCCCCCAGGAGTGTGTGCAGTGGCAGGGAGCTGGCTTTGCCCTCTCAGACCTGCCACGCACAGCCTTGTCCCGCTCCCTGCCAGGGCCCTGCAGCCATGCATTATGGCCCTGGGTCCCAGCCCCATGCACCACTTGGCTGGACAGCAGCCCCAGCCCTGCTCAACTCCCTTCCTATGGGGGCCTCAATTCCCACCTCCTCCTCCCCACTTACTTTCGGGAGCTGCTATTCAAACTGCCTGGTGGCCATGTACATGTGTATGTTCGCACATGCATGTGCCCCTCTGCCACTCCCTCCCAGCCCCTTGCAGAGAGCTCTTTGCAAAACTACAAAACCTGCGGGTTTCTCTGGTAAAATGACAAATCCGCGCTTTTGTCTAGTAAAGGGTTAAATCAGCGGTTTTTCTCCTTTTCTTGCATGGGAAAGGGAAAACCCAGATCCCTGCAGATCAGACAGGGAGCATAGGGCAGGAAACAAAGCAGAGCATCAAATTGGGCAAGGGAAAGGGTTTGGAGTGGCACTTTGGGAAGGCGCAGGGCTAATTTGTGGTGTATCTGTCAAAAAAGTTGCTCCCCTCCCCCAACTGTTTTAGAATAATTCTATGTAGGTTTTTCTCTAAGACTTAAATAGCTTGGGTATGAAGAATTGATGACATCCAGGTTATTGTGCCACCACATGACAGGCAGGACGATGGTAGTATTCACAGTGTTTTAAGAAAGAAGGCAGCAGCAATGATATTGGGAGGGTAAAGTTTACTGTCTGTGATTTCAGTGTTTACCGTGGATTTCCTATCTGGATATGACCCCTCAATGCCACTGCAATGTGAAGGTTAAATAATAATAATAGATTTCATATTAACTGGCTGTGATGAATAAAAGCCTGGACTAGACAGGTTTCCTACATGTCCATAGGTTTGAATTGCTAAAATATATAATGTAAACTGTTGTATTCTGTTACTAAGAAGGGTATTTTATCTGAAGTTGCACTGACATTTTACTGTTGTTACAGGTAATACTAGAAATTACTGTAAATTAACTAGAAGGGGAAAATACTCTTTTTCAGTTAATGCATGCATGTTTCACAGTACTCTGTAGCAGTAGGTGAGAGGAGAGCACTTTTAAAATAGGAGAATACTGGTTTGACACCACAAAAGGACTGATTGGGTTGAGGATAAGCTGGTGTATGATGTGAAATTTTTCAGTTCATTTTTTGAAATTCACTAAATGTTTCCATTTTAAGTTCTTTTGTATCAAAAAAGACCCACTTGTAGGTGTGATAGATGGCCATCTGCCTGCTTCGGCTCAAGACCTCTAGTTTTATACAGACTGTATTTACTTGAATCCAGGACAAGGTTTTTCTCCTTAACAAATGTGGTGGTGGGGAGCCTCATTTTAGGTTCTAGTACTCTGGTTTGGCTCTTGGATGTGGGCTGAAGCTGGAGCTGAGTCACTGCATGCCCAGGCCAGAATAGATCATTTGGCAGGTGAGGAGGGAGTATGGCTGGAGGGAGGATGAGGTAGACTGCAGGCTTTGTAGAAGGGAACCTGCAGCCTGTCCCCCCCCAACCTCCTCCATGCCTTGCCCCTGTGCCTGCCCCCTCCAGCTTTACCTTCTGTTCTAGCTCTGGTCTGTCTGGTCCCAACCAGCTCTGCTGGGAGCTGCTGCCACTTTTCCCTAGGTGGGCTGGGGCCACTGTGCTGCAGACTGCCTTGGAGGAGCTGAGTTGCAGCAGAAGGTAAGGTGGGAGAGGGCAGGAAGTGGGGGAGGCAGGCTGTACTGGGGGGCAAAGGGTGAGTGATAGGCTACAGGGGGAGCAGAGGGTTGGGGAGGCAGGGAGCTGTGCGGGGTAGACGGGCACAGGGGCAAGGGGTGGGGGGCAGGCACAAACAGGGACAGGGTACAAGCATGGGGGGTACATGGGTGGGGGACAAAAGGTGAAGGAACAAGTGGTAGGGGGATGAATTTAAGACAGCCTTCTACTAATTAGATTATATACATGGCAAATTATAACAAACACATTTATAATTTTCCATGTATAGAATCTAGTTTTTGAGGTGTTGTCTTAAAAATTCAGAGTTGTCTTGGATTTGGGTAGGTATGGTAAATACTTTTATAATGTACATTTCTCTTTAAAACACTTATTTTGAGAATAATATTCATGAAGTTTGACTAATTAACTGATCTATTACTAGGTTATTTTGTTTGGTTTGCTTAACATAAGGCAAGAGATGATCTGAGAAGGGTGCGGGGCCCAGGGCCAATCAACCTGTGCAGGCCTCTGTGCCCGGACACAAGGAAGCTGGCGGCAGATTTGGTGGCAGGGGATAGGGAATGCAGAGAGGGGTTGGGGGGTGGATGTGAAGCTGGCGGGAGTGTGGAGTCACTGAGCCACTCTGCCTGGCCCCCCAAAGTGAGGGGTCTGGGGCAGTTGTCCCGATTCCTCCCCCCCCCCCCCCCCCCCCCCCCCCCCCCCCCC